TCTCTAATGTTCATAGTGCTGTATTTAAAATTTTAGATGCTACCCAATTAACTGCCTTCTAAAAAAGTTGAACTAATTTATACCGACAGTGAGACTGCTTGCTTCCCTGCAAATATAAAGTGTTAGTGACACAAGTCTATTAAAAATCCAGATCTGAAATCAATATTAGTTTTAAATCATGTATCCAGATTTATCCTTAGTTCTTCATTTCTACTTTTCAAGAATCACAAATCAAACTTAATACCTCCTCTCATCTAACTTCAAAAAAAATTTTAAAATCTTTATCAAAAAAATCACATAAATTCATTCTCCGACAAATTAAGAACTGTTTAAAAAAAAACAACAAACAAAAACTCAACCACAATGCAGAGTCTATATATATGCAGCTGAGATACAGCTGGAGAAGAGAGAGGAATGGGGAGTCCAATTATCTACCCTTTAAAAAAAAAATCTACTTCTGATAAAATACAAATTCCCTCCAATATTTAATGGGTTTTTTAACCTAGGAGTAAGTTGTGAAAAGATGCCTCTGCCAGAATTTAGTATTTTAAAAACCCAAAATTGTTTGGGAAATATTTGGGTATATTCTCACTAAATAAAATACTGCTGGATACATTTATTTCTTTGCCTTCTACATTTATGTTCAAATTACTCTTTTTAAAGCATGAAATTCTAAAGTAATCCATCATATTAAAAAAATCTAATGTACAAGAATACAGGGCCACACATAAACAATTTTTATGAACACAAAAAGCACTAAACAGGTTCTATCTCGGTTTCTTGGCATAGATTCCAGGTCTAATTTTGATGATTACATTTAAAAATAAGAATGATTAAGCCTTCACCAGAACTGCCAAAATAAGACAGTTGAACATGCTTCAAGAAATGTGGAAGACTATCTAAAGGATATATGTAAGAAAGGACTAAGTTAAAATACATAAAACTGTAACATTACAAATAAAATAATGCAACGCTGTATCCAGTAGTATATTCAAAATATAAGGAAGGGTAGGGAGGGTATGTACTGTTTTGTAATATTCAAATAATTAAAGATTTTCTTTTTTTTTTGCTTAAACATTGTTCTCAAGGCTCATACTATAAAAAGCCCCAGTACAATTTTTTTGTAAGATCATCATTAGCATTTTGATAATTCATTTATACAAACATTTACTGAGTGCTTACTAGGTGGCAGGGTTTATACTATAAACACTGGATAAAGAATGGCAAATAAAATTAGTCCACCTCCAAGAGGTTATAATCTAGAACTCAATCCTGATTCTTGATAATGTTTAATACTAAAAACTTCAATGATTTTGTTCTCTAATTGGTCCCCTTTCCATTCTTTTCTAATCCAACTAATAAATGAAATCTGAAATTCAACCTAGAAAAGTATAGAAGAGAATTATATTTAGATACAAAACGTTTCATCCAGATGTGTCCTATGTACAGAATGAAATACAAGCATAGTCTTGTCCCAACATAAGTAATGTACTAAACAAAGTAAGAAACAAAGCAATGCTGCCTCTTTTCACATCCCCAGTAATAGTTGTGTCTGTTGGACACTTGAATTTGTTGTCTCTACCCATGGTGGGTCACACCATGAATTCATCCTTTTTCCAGTATTTCACAATAGATTCTATGTACACAAAACTGATAAAATATTTATTGTTTACAATCAACCCTCCCATTTGTCTGAATTGTACATTTTCAAATAAAAATAAAAACAAGTGCATCCGTAACAGAAATTATTTCAATGTTTTTGATTTTAAATAAGTTAAATCTATTGATGATACAGCATTTTCAACCTCATCAGCAACACATCTGCCCTCCGCTCGAAAGCAAATATCTACCAACAGAAAGAAATACACCACACACACACACACACACACACACACACACAAAATGGGGGTCTAGGGGACCTGGGGGTAAAAATGTAAATTACAAGAAAAAGCTTAAATCTAAAGACAATTTTCTTGAGTCACCAGTTTCTACCACTCTGGGGGAATGAAGAAACAGTTTCAAGTAACTCAAGATAGCATCAAGGGCATGGAAAATAATCAGGAAGTAAAAACTACCCAAGTAACCATGGAATCTCATTGCTATCACTGGCTCTCCTCTGGTTCCTTAATGGTCTGGGGTCCCTGACAAGCTCCAATCAGTCTGGTCTCAAGATATCTGTTACCACTCTGCACTCTGCTATTTCCAGCCTAATCTATTCATAACAAACCTTGAATGGTTTGCCTGCAAGCAATTATTTAAAGATATAACTCTTGCAAGCAATTATTTAAAGTACCAAAAGACTGCCTGTGATATCATGAAATATACATTTGGTCTTTGGTCTTAAACCAGTTTCCTGGCATAAACTCCTAAAATCTTTGGAATCTTCAAAGTGGTTATGTGGCTTCCTCTATGCTAAGATTTGACTGAAGACTGACAGGCCCTAAGTAGCTTCAGGATAAGAGCTGGTTAGCAGAAAGGCAAGGGAAGATTAAATGGTTGGGATTTTCAGCCCCGCCTCCCATCCTCCAAAAAGGGGAGACTAAAAGTGAAATCGATCCCCAAAGGCCAATGGTTTAATTAATCATGCCTATGTAATAAAGTCTCCATAAAAGTCCAAAAGGACAGGGTATGAAGGGCTTCCAGAGAGCAGAACACAGTGGAAGTTAGTGGAGGGTGGCACACCCAGAGGGCAGAATTTCCATGCCACTTGTCCCATACCTTACCCTATGCATCTCTTCAGCTGTATCCTTTGTAATAACTTTTACAATAAAGTGGTAAACATAAGTGTTTCCCTGAGTTCTGTGACCCACTTAGTAAATTAATCAAACTCAAGAAGGGGATCATGAGAACTCTGATTTATAGTCAGTGGGACACACAATGGGTCCTCAGCAAAGATGAGAGGGCTAGGTATATAAGATCAGCCACATCTTTAGAAAGAAGCGGGGGGAAAGGCAATTTCTATTTCCACCTTCCTTCTTCTGGCTCTTCCAGGAGCCATACCTGCCTCTAGTAGTTGTAGGCACCTTGATCACATGACTTCTATCTTAAGGACAAACTAAGTTTCTAATCTTGGTCCTTAGTCCATCAGAGAAAATGTCATCTTATTTAAGAGGCACTGGAAGGAAGTAGGCCTCAGAATTTTGCAGTTTTTTGTACTTCCAAATTTTTCACAATAAACACTGAAATGTTTGTGACAGAGATAATCAAAAAACTCTTTTTAAAAAGAGTTTCCTGTCAAATTTCATGGAAAGGGTTCAGAAATTAACACTGAAAATCGAGCATGCAAGCCAGTCAAGAAAGAATTAGGCATCTTACACAAAAAGAGTCACATTTGTATTCTACGCAACTTTCTAATTTCCTAGAATTAATCCCTGTGTCCTCTATTTCTACCTCAATTTCCAAAAATCATGTGGCCCAGGAATATATTTACTTCATAAAGAGCAGTATTAAACAACTAGGTGGAGGCCACCACACATCTGCAATCCCCACCACCGCTTTTTTTTTTTTTTTTTTTTTTTGAGACAGAGTCTCACTCTGTTGCCCAGGCTAGAGTGCAGTGATATGATCTTGACTCCCTGAAACTTCCACCTCCTGGGTTCAAGCAATTATCCTGCCTTGGCCTCCCAAGTAGCTGGGATTACAGGCGCTGGTCACCATGCCCAGCTAATTTTTGTGTTTTTAGTAGAGACACGATTTCACCATGTTGGCCAGGCTGGTCTCAAACTCCTAACCTCAAGTGATCTACCTGCCTTGGCCTTCCAAAGTGCTGGGATTACAAGTGGGAGCCACTGTGCCCAACCTTGCAATCTTTTTAACATTATAAATGTGATGCATCCACTTAGGGTTTTTAAGAAATTCAAAGGCTACAAAGGCACAAGATGGACCGTAAGTCTTGCTACTCTCCTGCATCAAAATGGCAAAATACATGTTACATCATTAATAGACTTCTAGTACAGGTACCAGTTTAACTTTAATGCCACTTTGCTTTCATATCTTGATTCATCAAATTTTATATGCTTGTAATCTACTGACTGTCCACTGAAGAAATGAGCACTGACCCTTCATTTGTTGCCCTCCATCTCCTAATTTTATAGATTGTTATTTTTATATTATAAAGGTTTATAAGGCATTCTACTCCATAACGATAATTAAGCCCATTTTATATATTTTCTAGGTTGATTCTAAAATGGAAAATCAATAAAGTAACTTACAATGTGATTATATAAATAGTAGTCACTAAAGGAAATGTAACTTTATGTTGTTTAGACATTACTAGTTGAAGAAATGTTCATGGATTCCAGACTAATAGAACTTGAATTTCCTTCTAACTTTCTTCAGTTCTTTTTGAAGGCCCAAGATTGCCACAGTAGCTATTTCTTCCCACTCACCCTCCCATCCCCCCACTACTACCATGTCCTCTACCTTGGGATTATTTTTTCATTGTGCTATTGTATCGCAAATATGTTCATACAAAGTACATAGCTTTTTCCCAGTATAGAAAATGCAATTGTTCTCACATGATAAAATAGTGGGGCTGGGTAGAGAAAACGTAGGTCAAAATCTATTGTCTCTCAGTGAAGTCACTGTTCCACTGCCTTCAAGCATTCAGCATGACTGCTAAGAACTTATTTATTTGATTTTCCATATTTATTTCCCTCTCTCTGGCAATAATTCTGGGATCTTCTTATCCTTAAGAGTTCTAAAATTGTGGATCTTTTTTCATTCATTTTGGCTGTTACTAGATGGGCTCTTTCAATCTGAAAATTCATTACGTTTCTACAGCTCAGGAAATTTTCTTCAATTATTTCTTTCATCATTCTCTCCTTCCCATGGTTCCTAATCTCTTGCTTTTAGAACTCATATTTATGGATGTGAAAAACTGTGATATATTTTCCATGCTTCTTTAATTTTCTCTCAAGTTTTTCCAGATTTTTTTCTCTCTTGATTTACATATGCAGACAATTCCTCCTCTTAATTCCAAAATCAACAATTCAGTCTTGATTCATGCTAAAATTTTATTTATCTCATCAATTAAAATTTTTCTTTATAATTTTCAAAACCTTTTCTAGTTCTATGCCCCCTTTTTAATGCAGCTATAACTAAACATTACGTATTCTTAAATTTTAAATAAAATACCAATTACACTTTTCTTTGAAGTATTCTTCTGAATTACAGCTGAGGTTGGTTGTTCTTTTATTCATCTTAATCTTCTTTCATCCTCTTGATTCTCCTCAATTGTCTGATTATCCCTGTCTGTTTATATTTGCAAATGAAAGATTACTTTAGACTAGATAGAGTTTAAGAGCTTTCCCTGAGGTTTTTGTTTTCCTAAGTGGCTTCTCCTTTAAATGGAAGAACAGTACAATTTAAGCAGGTAGGGCATGTGAATATGCAAGTACCCCAGAAAGGTACCTGGATAGGAAGTCAAGTTGGCTGGGAACAGACAAAACCGTTTTTCTCCTGAGGTAGTATAGTGCCTCCACTTCTCTCTCAGGTTCTAACGCCTGAGTAGATGCCCATACTAAACTGCTGGCCTACTTTCTTAAGAGAATGATCCTGAAACTTCAGGCCTAAGAGTGGGCATCATAGTTATTTAGGCTGGAGAAAGGGTAGAAGGGAAGCCCAACTGACCTAGCACTGTGGAAAAGAAGTCTTAAGAAAATTCTTGATTATTACCCAACTGCCCACTACTACTGATTTGTGTTTGTTGACTCCAAGTTTGGAGCCATTCCAAGGTTTCCCTGGGAAAACCTGAGCTTACCTCTGTTATCTTGGGTTCCAGTTTCCTCTGGGATTTTGCTGTCAATCCGATTCCATGAACTTTCTATCTTCTTCAAAATTTCTTGGTCCTCTGATGGTACCTGTAGTGGACTGTGAACTGTAATTTTACTGTTCAACATGTTTTCTCCCTAACCCCTTTTGCTAATAACATCATCCCTCTTTTTTATGGGGAATGTATTCATGTGCTTTGGGTAGAGGTAAGCCTTCCCAGCCACCACAGGAGTGGCCACATTACCTAGGTCTAGCTAGTATATCCCATTCCCATCTCCTTTGACTGACAGTCATCTTTGGCTGAAAATAAAGCTGATACAGAAAGAAACGCAGACCAAAAATGTTGAGACAGTAACAGGGTTGCAGTCATACTACTAACACTACTCAAGTTTAGATTCATCTATGCACCTAAGTTGCAGTTTCTTGCCTCCCTCCCCACATACACCCAAGTACACATTAAAGTTATAGAGCTGATGAAGTCCTTTTGTGCCTCTTAAGGGTAGTTTGACTAATATAATAACATCTGTTCCCACTTTTCAGAATTATGACTTAATTCAATCTTTAAACAATATCAGTGGGACACTGAGAAGAAAATAAATTAAAGGAATGTACTAAATCCACCTTTTTTTTTCATTTCAGTCAATAACTATAAAATAAGCCTGAATAAATCGAGTTATACCTTTAAAATTTGTTAAACATACAATAAGGAAATAGCTAATAACTTTATTTAGTATATCTTATTATCTCTTTACTAGTTTTTTTCTAAGTCAGGATTCCAAAAGTTTCAGAAAGAAAAAGAAGGAAGACGGGAAGGTTGGTAATGATTTAAAATTTTTTCTTTTCTTTTTTCTGTTTTAATAGACACAGGGTCTCACCATGTTTCCCAGGCTGGTTTCGAACTCCCGAGCTCAAGCAATCCTCTTGCCTCAGCCTCCCAAAGTACTGGGATTACAGGCGTGAGCCACCATACCCAACTATAATTTAAAATTTTCTAGCAAATTATTATTTTTTAAAATTCTCTTATATATGACAGAAACCTCTCAAAGAAAAATTCTGTAGTTACTGTTGCGATTACTGGGGAAAGAGTAGAGGAAAAGGCTAGTCAATAACTCCTCAATGGATAAAAAACAAAATCCAGTACTCCTTTTTCAGACAGGGTTTCACTCTGTCACCTAGACTGGAGTGCAGTGGTTCCATCATTGCCACTGTAACCTTAAATTCCTGGGCTTAAGCAATCCTCCTGCCTCAGCCTCCAAAGTAGCTAGGACTACTAGTACATGCCACCACACCCACCGAATTTTTAAATTTTTGTAGAGATGGGTTATTGCTATGTTGACGAGGCTAGTCTCAAACTCCCAGCCTCAAGCAATCCTTCTGTCGTGGCCTCCCAAAGGGCTGTCATTACAGGTGTGAGTCACTGCACCCAGCTTGAAATCCAGTACTCTTGAGCTAAGGTTCATATTGCATGGTTCACACCTCACATACCTACCCCTCAAAAACTCTATACCCCTCAATTGGCAAAATGTTGTATGATGTATTTAAGTAAATGTTGGAGAAGAATAGGTCTACATTTTTCATTACAATCTAACTAAAGTCCATGACCTAAAAAAGTAAAGAAAATTGATCCTGACTAGGGAAAAAAAAAAAAAATGACAACTTCATTTCAAAATATTACATAAGAACTAAATCCAGAATCCAGTAAAATGTCAAAATAAGTAATAAATTACCTCCAACACAGAAGGTAGTATAGTGTGCTAAATAATGTAGATTACCTCCATTCTTTAGAAAAACTCTGTTAAAAATAAATCATTATCCCTAAGGTAGATGAAGACAACAAGGTTAAGTAGTAACTGTCCCCAAATCACAGAGTATTAAAGCAGGATTCAAAAGTAACTTGCCCAACTTGATTTCAAACTCTTTCCATACCATGCTTTTTCCAGGAGAAATAGTGTAAGAAAAGAAATACAAAGGCATTGGGTTATTTCAGAATTAAATGTAACTTTCTTGAAGCACAGAAATTGTTAAGTATTCATATGCCTGTGGTTTAATGAAATTGGAATCTGGCCCTTCTTCCTACTTGCTCTCTGATCAAGGTTTTCAGAAAAACTTCTGCTTATGGTAGTGAGGTCAGGAAGACCTTAGTATGTAATTAAGATATATGAATCTTAACATTCTAGGTTGCCTAAGCCAATGAATGGGTACCCTGGCCAAGCAAAGCTGTTCTTCTGGGATCCCTAGGATACAAAACAAAACTGCTCATGCAGAGAAGACAAAAAGCTGCAATACCAAGCCTGTAGAGTTTTTTATGTGTTAGCATAAAAGACAAAAGGATCTGGTGATTAAGCTAAAGTAGGTTAAGGACCTCCTCATATGAAAAAACATCTCACATACTAAGGCACATTCACAACTTAAATCATATTATAGTACTTCGATCTGGCCAAGAGAAGCCAGGTACTGAAGTTTGGGTTGCAGCGAGAAAGCTGGACTGAGTGGTAGAGAGGATCTTGGACTGTGAGGTGGGAATCTGGATGTAGAGTAAGAAAAGGAAGAAAAGGCACAAGTGAAAGGCGTCCATAAAGTGAGTTAAGAGATACATTCTAAAGGTCCTGAGATTTAGAAAACAGCATGATCAAATCTTTGCCTTCATACTTTTCATTTTATCTAGAACCCTAGTATTATCTGCTAAGCCTACACCAGAGACACCATAGGCATATGGTTTGCTTTCACATTCCCAGAAAAGGACCTAAGAGTCAGAAAAGGATGTGCATTTCCCATAACCCTTATCTCTCCCTCTTTATTAACAGTATGATAAAGTAATACCAATTTTTAAGTTCTCAAGGAATTTAAGAACATATTCTATATAAATTCTAAAAAGTTAATAAATTCAGAATATAATCTGAAAAATGGCCTCTAATCCAAACAACTATTATGTGAACTCTTTATTACAGAATCCCAACCCCTTATCTACTATCAGCTCCACCTAAAACAATTAACCAAAATGCACAATTGGAACAGAAAATATTTACTAGCAATCTATAAATTCAATTAGATAACTAAATTTAATAGAATTAGAAATTTAAAATAAGAGATTTTCCTAAATAAAAAACAAATAGCCAACCCTCTTAGTAGTCAGAATTTTCATAAGGCTATTTTTATTCATACTTCAGTTTTAACAATTAATTTATGAAAATCCTTATAGGTCACAAACATTTTCACAAACATTAGGTCACCTAACCTCCCTCAAAAGAAAGTATTACCAGGCCCCTGTTATGGGAGACTGAGATATTTAGTTTTTACATGTCACACTCAACAGCATGAATTAAGAGGTGTAGGAGGGTCTAAAACAGCATTCTTCCCACCTCACATTTTGAGCACTTACTGTAAGAGGTCATCTACAAGGTATGTATTTTGATTTGATGTTTCAAAAATAGTGAAGAGTAACATACCCATTTATTCCACCTATGAAATCCATCCCAAGATCAATCCATGAATTTCCCCAAGACAGGGTTTAGGGAAACAAGATGAAATAAAACAGAGCAGTATTAACTAGCTACATTCAGGTAAAGTGTTTTGGAGTAAGGAGGTCTTCCACAACCCTCCTTACTCCATCATTTCTCTCTGGTTATTCTACTTGGGGATAGGTCACCATACACAAATTTGAGTAAGATGGTATTCATGCAGATCTGTAAAGAGGACCTAGAAGCAAGATGAAATGGCTAGTGAACTCTACAATGCATACAAAACATATTTCTTGAGCATAGGGAGGCCATAAAAGGATAGTAAGGAAGTAGTACAGTATGAGTTAAGAAAGCAGACTTTCATATGAGACTACCCATGCTGATATTCCATTTCCGTCATTTACTGTGACCTTGAACAAGTTACTTATTCTTTGCCTTGATTTTTTCAACTATAAAATGTAGATACTATGTACCTCTTAGAATTGGGAAGATTAAATGATATGCAGCAGTGTAATACACATAAACCAATTAGAATTGTGGCTGGCACATAGTAAGCACTCACTAAACTATTATTAGGGTTAAAATTATTCAATGTGCTAGGTGTTACAAACACCTTCAGGAAAGAGGTGATATATGATCTGGCCCTTTTATGGATAAAGTAGTCAACAGAGAGGGATATCCAAAAAGAACAGATACGAACATGGCTTGAAAGTTGATGTTTGACCTAGCAGATCCTACACCACTACAAAATCACTAGTTTTTAAAATATGGTGCTGACGCACACAATAAAATGTCAGTTACAGAAACAAATTCCCATACCTTTAGTCTAGCAGTTTTACCTCTGGAATACATCTTACCACAATACAGAAACAATATAAAAGAGTCCACTTCAGTATTGTTTCTAACAGCAGAACTTTGGACACAACCAAAATTTCCATAAACTGGAAAGCAATTAAGTCCTGATACCTGACAAGAGAAGACTCACAGCCATTTAAGGAGTAAGATAACTATATGTGTATTAACATGAAAAGAATCTATGATGGACTATTAATTTAAAAAGAAAGTTTCAAACAATATTTTTACAATGATCTCATTTATGCAAAACAAAATTACATAGATACATCTGTATATGTGTGAAAGTGCACAGAAAAAGGCATAGGATTACATACACTTAAAATTTATACCTAGGGATATAAAAAATCTTCAACTCTTATTCTGTATCTTCCTCTACTGTTTAAATTTTCAGTTCACATTTACTATATGATTTAATAAAACTGGAAAAAGATAATGCAATTTTCCTTTAAGATTCCTCCAATATAAAAAAATTAAATGGATAAAAACGAAACATTACTCAGTTTAACATTTGGTGAAAACTTTAGACAAGTTTGGTTTAAAGGATATCACCCCCTCAATAGAATTAAATTTATCTACACTGTATCTTAAAAGGATATTATCCCCTCAATAGAATTAAATTTATCTACATTGTAACTTATACAAGCTCTTCTTTTTTGACATTTTCTGAACAGCAACTATGTAAGTTTTAAATCACTCCTAGTTCATTTGAAATATATAAAGTAACCAGTGAAACTTTGTTCTTTAAAGAACATTGTAAAGATAGTGCAAGAGAACTACAAAACAATCATAGTTTATAGGTCCTGCAATAATAATGTATAGAGATTTTCAAGTTCAAAGACAACCTAAGGACATCGTCAAATCAGTAAGAACACTATATAGATGCTGGCATTGCTTATATCTTCTTCATACAAGTACTTCTTTACTAGAATCTGTAAGGGAGGGAAGGAGGAAAGAAAAAAAAATGTCAAGCCTGTTTAGAGGTTTAAGCAATAAAAGAAGAAAAACTGCTTCAAAAGATCACTGACGGCCAGGCTCAGTGGCTCAAGTCTGTAATCCCAGCACTTTGGGAGGCTGAGACGGGCGGATCACGAGGTCAGGAGATCGAGACCATCCCGGCTGACAAGGTGAAACCCCGTCTCTACTAAAAATACAAAAAATTAGCCGGGCGAGGTGGCGGGCATCTGTAGTCCCAGCTACTCGGGAGGCTGAGGCACAAGAATGGTGTAAACCCGGGAGGCATAACTTGCAGTGAGCTGAGATCCAGCCACTGCACTCCAGCCTGGGTGACAGAGCGAGACTCCGTCTCAAAAAAAAAAAAAAAAAAAAAGAAAGAAAAAGATCACTGACTTGGCTGGGCACATGGGCTCATGCCTGGAATCCTAGCACTTTGAGAGGCCAAGGCAGGAGGATCACTTGCGTCCAGGAGTTCTAGAATAACTTGGGCAACATATCAAGACTGTCTCTACAAAAAAAAAAAAAAATTAGCTAGCTATGGTGGCATGCACCTGTAGTCCTAGACATCTGGGAGGTTGAGGTGGGAGGAACCCTTGAGCCCAGGATTTCGAGGTTGCAGTGAGCTATGATCACGCCATTGCCCTCCAGTCTAGGCAACACAGTGAGACCCTGTGCCTAAAAAAATTAGAATTTAAAAAAAACACATATTAAGTGGAAAACATCTAAAATTTCTTTAACCATAAAACCCCACATTTGTTAAGTAGATGTGAGCTACTTAACAAACACAGGAAACTGCTTAGTACAAGCAACAAATTGTACTATTCAGGCCTTCAGCTTATATAAATTCAGTACTTATTCTCTTTTTATTTTTATTTTTGGAAATGGAATCTTGCTGTGCCACCCAGGCTGGCGTGCAGTGGCACAATCTCGGCTCACTGCAACCTCAGTCTCCCGGGTTCAAGCAATTCTCCTGCCTCAGCCTCCCAAGTAGCTGGGACTACAGGTGCATGCCGCTACACCGAGCTAATTTTTTTGTATTTTAGTAGAGACGGGGTTTCTCCATGTTCCCTAGGCTGGTCTTGAACTCCTGAGTTCAGGCAACCTGCCCACCTCAGCCTCCCAAAGTGCAAGGATTACAGACGTAAGCCACCATGCCCAGCCCAAATTCAGTACTTATAAAGATGTATATACTGAGCAGATATTTGATTTACTGTTTTATTGTGGAAATACATAAAATTAAGGCATTATTCAAATAATGAGGAGAGACTATGAAACAGGTAAGTCAACTGATTAACTATTTGGAAATACAAGATTAAGTTCCTATTCCCCTCAATGAACCCATATAAATTTCAAATAAACGAATAAAATGTAAAAGTTAAGAGGCCCACTAGCCAACAGATGGAAGCAACCCAAACGGTCCATTAACTAATGAATGGGTAAATAAAATGTGATATATATACACAATGGAATATTTAAAAGGAAATCCGGTCACATGCTACCACATAAATGAACCTTGAGAACAGTATATTAACTAACATAAGACAGTCACAAAAAGACAAATACTATGATTCCACTTACATGAGATAGACAAATTCATAGAAACAGAAAATAGAATGGTAGCTGCCAGGGGCTGAAGAGGAGACAAAAATGTGGAATTGTTCAATGGGTACAGAGTTTCAGTTCTGCAAGATGAAAAACTTGTGGAAATCTGTTCCATAATAATGTGAATATATTTAACACTAACGAACTATACACTTGAAAACAATTAAGACGGTAAATTTTATGTTGTTTACCACAATTTAAATTTTTTTAAGTTATTATTTTTACAAAGAGGTATGTATTAAATTACTTAAGCCACTTTTTAAAAAATTACTAACTATAAAAAGATCAAATAAACCACTTACTCTAACTCCTTTCTAACATTTCAGTGGCAAATATGGTTAAAAACACAACATATAAGACTAAAAGGAAAAACGACTCAGATAAACTGAATCTGCAAAATGTGTATCTTTACAAAACTGATGTAAGGAAAAAATACTTACAGTTTCTTCAAATAAATTTGAAAAACTAACATGAATAATCTTCATAGAAAATATAAATTAAAATATTAATGACACTAAATCCAACAGTGCATTAAAATAATTCATCATAACAAGTATTCAAAACACAATTAAAATTAGGAAATCCTTTATTACAGTTCACTATATGGACATATTGAAGGGGCAGAGAAAGAACTGACCATTTCAAAAGATACCAAAAATGCATTTGATAAAATGTAGTACATTATTTCTAATAAAACTTAAGTAACTTAAGAAAAAGAGATGTACCCTAAATTGAAAAAAGATACCTGCATTATACTTACTAGTAAAACAACAGCGCTCCCATTAAAATAAGAGAAAGACAAGTATAACCTCTATTACCACTGACATTCAACGTTTTGGTGGTGGTTCAATACTCACGCAGTAAGAGAACAAAAACAAACACAAGGGACAAATACTGGAAATGAGAGAAAAAAATAATTTACTAGAACTAATAGGACATTTGAGTCAGAAACTTCAACAGAATACACTGAATACAAGAATTCAGCTTAGCGGCCATACACAAGATTAAAATATGCCAATCAATAGCTTCCTATACTCCAACAATAACTAATTAAGAAAGTATAGTGGAATAAAATATACCATTCATGATAGCAGTAAGAACTATAAAATAATCTGAAATAAATTCCACAAGAAATGTGCAAAATCTACACAAAAACTAAAATTTTATTAAAGACAGATGAAGGGGCTGAAAATACACAAGTATGCCATGTTTACAAATGGAAATATTCAGTATTATACATGTATTTCTCTCCCAAATTAACATAAATTTCAATGTATAATCTGATAATATTTTATGGTCATGTATAAAAGATGATTCTAAAGCATGTCTGACATGTTAAATGAACAATATCCAAAACTCTTAAGAAAGAAGCTCAATGAGTGAGAACTGCCTTCTAAGATACCAAACCATGCTAACATCCTAGGCTGAATCATATGAAACCAGATATTCAATGACTTTTGGCTTATAAAAACAACAATTTCGCAAGGTTCAACTGTGAAATTCACTGAAATTCTCCCACCTCACTTCCACCCACAAACTTCTTTCCAAGTAGTAAGAAACAGATGTAAGAGTTTACTAAATATTTAATACTAATAAAGCTTGGTGAAAAACCAATAGGACTCTTTCCTATGTTTCACTACAGTGCAACTTACTCAATTAAGGCAAAAAACTAAAAGGGAGGTAAAAGAAGTGGTGTAAGGGGAGAAAGTTCCCTCCAACAATACCAGACAAAGAAGGATATCTAAGCTGAAAACTAAAGGATGAGAAAAAACAAAGAACCAGGGGAACAATACACTAGGAAGAAAGTAAAAAGACCCTAGCTAGAAAGTCTGCATGTTTCAAACCCAGGAGGGTCAGTGTGAATAGATGACAGTCAAGGAACTGGAAGGGCTGGAACAAGGAGCAGCCATACAAAGTTCTGCGGGTTAAGTTAGGAGTTTGGATTTTATTCTAAAAGCAATGAGAAGTCAAATAACAAATGACATTTCAGAAAGATTAGCCTAATGCTATATGAAAAATGAATGAAGTATGGGGATTCAAGAGAAAAAGCTAGGAGATCAAATTAGGAGGCTACTATGAAGTTCAAGTAAGAAAATAGCCAGGGTTAAGGCGATGGTAGTGGAGAAGGAGAGAAGGAGAAAAACTCAAGACATATTTTGGAAGTAGAATGGACCTCTCCTAGTCTACCTCCTACACAGGGTAGAGAAACATGACCTAGTCCTAAACAAAGCATCTTTTTCCTTAGTGATAGTGGCTGGTTCAAGAATAGACACATGACCCAAGCTTGGCCCACAAGATTATTTCAGGAACCAGGAATGACTTTCATTCTTGTTTTGGTAGTCATAAGGACAATATAATCGTAGAATTGTATCAGTAGAAAACATTAATTATTCCCCAATATTCACAGTCCCCTTCTTTTAGCAAAAGACTACTTCTCCACAAGTTTTACATGGGTATATGGCCACTCAGCAAGAGCTAAGCCTTAGATATGGCTGTGTAAGAAATTTCTGGTCAATGGGATATAATGGAAAATGATGTTGGCAACCCGTTGGTCAATTCCTCAAAAGGAAGTTACCTATGTTGACCTTTCTGTTTCTTATTTCTCTAGTATTAGTTTACTAGGGCTACCATAACAAAATATCATAGACTGGGTAGTTTAAACAACAGACATTTATTTTCTCACAGTTCTGGAGACAGTAAGTCCAAGATCTGGGTGTCTGCAGATTTGTTTCTCCTGAGGCCTCTCTCCTTGGCTTGCAGATGACCACCTTCTTGCTGTATCCTCACATGGCCTTTTCTCTGTGGGCATGTATCTCCGGTGTCCTGTGTTCAAATTTCCTCTTTTTAAAAGGACATTAGTCAGATGGATTAAGGCCCACTCATATGACCTGATTTAACCTTAATTACATTTTTAAAGGACTTATCTCCAAATATAATCACATTCTGAGGTACTTGCGGTTAAGGGCTTCAAAATATTAATATTAATGTTGGGGACACACAATTCAGCCCACAACAGGCTGAAACATGGAAATGATGCTAGTGAACCACAGTAGATCTTGTAGATGAACACTCCAAATCAGAGCTGTCCAATAAAACTTCCTGTGATGATGGAAATATTATACATATGCACTCTCCAATATGGTAGCCACTAGCTATACGTAATATTTAAATTAAAAATTTAAAAAAATTCAACTCAAATCCTTAGATGCACTAGCCACATTTCAAGAGCTCAGCGGCAACTTGTGGCTAGCGGCTACAGTATTTGACAGCACTGATTAAGGGATGGTGTATCAAGTGCAAGACAGTAGGTACTTAGATGTGTGAATAACCTGAAGGTCTACCTCTGGAGTAGCACATAAAAGAATAACAAATTTCTATCTTGCCTGATATGTCTTGGAATCTCTTTGTTCAAATGATCCATCCTATACCTTAACTAATACAGTTAATTGGAAG